ATAACAAAAGGCTTCTGAGGGTAGGAAGAGGTGGAAAGATGGTGGCAAGGCTCTGGGGCACTGCTCCAGTGATAGGCCTCAGGTTGATTGTCTGAGAATGGAATATATGGAGCCTCGGGGCCTGGAGGACAGTGGGAGAGAGGGTGACCAAAACTCCAGTGCAAAGACAATTCTCTCTGGAAATGGAGGCTCTTGAGGCAGTCTGCAGGTGGTCCTAGATTGGGGGCCTGATCCCAAGGTTCTAAATTTGCTCTCTGACCAACTTCTTGGGAGACCTTTGGCAAATGCCTTCTCTGGACTTAAGGATTCCTGCCTGTAAGGTGAGATAATAAGTCAAGATAACATGAAGTACATTTGGACAGGGGCAGAGGAAAGCGGGGTGGTCTCTGGGGAGTCTGGTTCCTGCTGGCAGCAAGGAAATCCTCATGGTCTTAGCTGTTGCCTGGCCTTGTTTCAGGATTTGACAATTCTGGGAACTCAAAAATCTACCTTTTCCCCCAGCCGGTTCTGAGCTATAACAGAGTCCTGCCTGCAGGGTGCGCTGAGGGCTCACAGCCGACAGAACCAAACTGGAACTCAGGTTTTCTGTTTTATTTTTTAAGAGGGGTGAATTTTGTTTTTAATTTATTGGGGTTTTTTGGCTGCATCTCGCTGAACTTCCCCCACAAAGGATCATCTTGCACCCCCTCCGGTGGAAGCAGCCAAGTCTTAACCACTGGATTGCCAGGGAAATCCAAGAGGGGTGAACTTTTTGAAATCTGAAGATTTCTGTCCTCAGAATACAATCAATGTACCGGAATTATATGTAATGCCCAACACCAGTTCTCACACTGTCTCTGGAGAGTTAGAGCTATTTTCAATTCCTTTGTTTTCCAGATGAAGAAACAGATCCTAAGAGATTGAGGGAAAAAAAATCACTTTGGATCACATAGCTCAAAACTAGCACCTGATTCCTGGGCAGGGCTCTTCGGAGAGGGTTGGTTCTGCTTTCAAGAGTCTGTGGCTGTTCTGCCTCCTAATGCACAATTCCTGGGGAGAATGTCAATTTTGGTTGTATAACTTTACAGCTCAGGACCTGTCAGCCAGAAGGCCCTCCCTCAGCACCTAGCAGAATGCCTGCTGAATGAGTAATTAAATGAATGAATGTGTGAATGAGCCACAGAGATTGAGTCTGCTTTGGTTTTATCAAATAAGTCACCTGGAGTTGGATTTCTTTCCTGAAATTCCCTCAAGGCAGAAATATTCTAAAATGGAAGGGGAGGGTGTGGCAAACAATAAGAGCTCAGAAAATTACCTCTGAGTTGATAAATCATAGCCCCAGATCTGGTCAGGGTATAAAAATATTCTATCATATTGCATTTGGGATTAGAAAGTTAATTTATGAAGAATGAATTCAGAACAGATGAGAATTCCATTAGGGTTAAAATCTGTGAGAGGGTCTGAAGCTAAAGGAGCCTCAGAAACATTTCAAACAGCATCTAGATGTACCTTCAGGACTGGAATGTGACTGAGGAATAAAAGAAAGCTTTGACCAATCAGTGGCCTCAACAGAGCTGATGCAAGAGTGGAGAGAAGGGCAACAGGAGGTGGATCTTTCCTGAACCAAAAATACGAGGCATGGGGGAGGGGAGGAACAAAGTTGGCAGTGTTTCCTGGGCTGGGAGCTTCAGTGCTGGATTTCCAGAGTCTGGCACAGTGCCTGGTACACACTAGATGGTCAATAAATGTTTAGTGAATGAAAGAGTGAGGGAAGAAGCCTGAGCCCCAACCAGCACATTCGCTGTGGAGGTGGTTTAGTGATTCATCTTTTCTCTGGCTCTTTTTGCTCAGATTCCAACTACCCTCACTACTTTCTGATGATAATTTGGCTTTTCATGGTATAAAGAGTTTCTGGCCTGTCAATTATGGGCCACTTAACAATTATGTTTCTCACTCCCAATTAATATATTGGAATTCTGCTTTACGTATCAGTTCCTTGTGTCAGCCTGCTTCTTACATATTCAGGTCTTTCATCGGTGATGCAGTGGAGTTTCTGCTTTGGAGTCATTCCTGTCTAGATTTGAATTCTTACTCAGTGTATTACTAAGCTGTCTGACTTTTGCCAACACACCTCTCCAGACTCAGTATCCTCATCTGTCAGATGGGGGCATACTACCTAATTCATGATATGGTGGTGAGAATTACATGAGATAACAGATGAATCCTGGACTATCCTTGGAGCTCAGTAAGTAGCAGTATCTGTGTCCCTTCCAAGCTTTCCTTCAAAGGAGATTGGGTCACAAAATCTCATTCAATTGAGAATATCAGTATCTCTTGCTTTTCACAAATTTACTGACTTTGTAAGTGAAGCCTTGGGAATGATTTAGTCACTTCCTTCAAGGTTCTAAAGAGTCATTCTACAGAGGAGGGCAACTCATATTCATTAATATAAAAGTAGTTCCCAAGGACTCACTGATACTGCAGCTCCAATACTTTGGCCACCAGATGTGAAGAATTGACTCATGAGAAAAGACCCTGATGCTGGGAAAGATTGAAGGCAGGAGGAGAAGGGGATAACTGAGGACAAGATGGTTGGATGGCATCACCTACTCAATGGACATGAGTTTGAGCAGGCTTTGGGAGCTGGTGATGGACAGGGAAGCTTGGCATGCTGCAGTCCATGGGGTTGCAAAGACTGAGCAACTGAACTGAACTGAGGACTCACTACATGCTAGTGGGAGAGAGAGAGATAATAAGACACAGTTCTTGCCTTCAGGGAGTTCTGACCCAGTCTGGTGCAATCAAAAGAAGACATTATATGAGCCTGACACAAAGTTTTACTTTTCTGAGTTTAGATTTCCTCACTTTGCAAACTTGGTCAATAACATTCTATTGTTAGTTGGAGAGAAGGGGTAAGACATGCAAATATGATAACCAGACTGCATCAAATTTGAAGACTAATGGTACAAAAAATGTAGAAACAATGTGTTGAGGAGTTAAACAGTGGTAGAGCTTATTTACAGCTCAGTTGAAAAAAGCAATACTTTCTATAGGAAGTGGCATTTTAAAGCTTTCATTCAGACCACAGTTACTAATAAAGGCATTAATTGCTGGGCTAGAGTTCAGTGGCCCGAGATTTGCAGAGAGAAAGGCTTGAAATCAAACAAGGAACATGAAGGTGGCAGGTGATTAGGCTAGAAAAGATATGTTGAGGCAGATCTTGGCAGATATTGAATGCCAGTCTAGGGGTTTGAGCTTCATTCTGTACTGATGAAATACCAGTAAAGCTGACCTAAACATTTGACATTACAGAGTATATTTTAAAAGTAAAAGCTGAACCTGACATATTTGAGGAGGGTAACTTAGAGGGGAATTCAGTCAAAGGAGGATTTAGTCAACAAGGGCATGTTATTGGCAGGATATTTTGTTAGGTGGCATAGGGCAGAAGACAAAGATGTCGAGATGTGGACCCTGTCCTCAAGGAGCTTATAGTCAAAACTCATGTCCACAGAAAAGGGCAACACCAGGTAGACTGTAACAGGTGTTACAACAGAGCCCCAGCCCCAGGGCCTCAGCTTAGCTGAGAATGAGGTTCATTTACCTCTCCCAAGAGTCTGGAGACCAAGTCAGACTTGGGAAGCCACAGAGGGGCCATTGGAGGTCATCCAGTCCACTTGAGCTCCTGCTAGGATTCTCTATCCCTAGTAAACATTACCTTTGAAACAAAAAGTGGAACCCTGAAGAAAAACTGTCAAGAGGCTGTGGGAAGGAAACAGAAGAAGTCAGCTTTGAGGTGCTGGTAGAAGCGACTTCTCCCAAATGGAGGGTTGAAGGCCAGGAAATGGATGAGATGGGGAGGGAGAGTGTGCCTGGAGAGAGGAAAGATGAAAACAGAAACTAGGGGAACACCCACGTTCCAGGAGGTGGGAGGAGAAAGAAGAGTCTGAGAAGGAGTGGCCAGAGACAGAAGGGAGAAAAAAAACAACAACAGTAGAATGCCTTGTCGCAAAGTTTTTAGAAGAGGGGCGATAGAAGGCAAGATGGGAGGACCCAAGGGAGCAGAAGAGGGGAAACTGCAGCAACAGGGTTTGAGATTAGACAAGAAGTTGCCAAGGAGATTTCAATGAATGAAGGCTTTCCCAGAGACTCCACGAATCAGCTGTATTCCCTGTGTCTGGTACATTCTAAGGTGGAGCCTTCCCGGAGGCCAGAAGAACAGGGCTGTGTGCTCTGATCTCCCAAAGATCGGGCGGTCGGCTCTGCAATTAGCACTACCTCTCCTAACCCCAACCAGTCCCTCCAGGAACCGAAAAGCTGAAGAAGGTACTTGGGAGGGATTTCACACCCGTGTATCTCTGGCCCAGCCCGGTGAAGTCCCGTTTCATCATGCAGCTTTAGTGACTGGCGGGGCTGTCACTCTCATCTGGTATTGCCAACATTCTGACTAAACCCTCTTGCAAAAGTTTGCAGCATTCGCCGGAGGCTGACTACAGCTCCCAGAATTCCCCGGGCACTTCCCGGTGCCGATTGGCTGAGCCCCAGGCTCCTGAGGGCGGTGTTCCCCCGCCTCCCCGGGAAACAGGCATCTGATTGGCTGCGGCGCGGGGGTTTTTGTGTCCCCGCCCTTCCCCAGGGACCGCAGCGGGCAGAGCGGTTCTGCTGGTGTCAGAGCCCGGCAAGCGCTGGCAGTTCCGAGGCGGAGATGCTGAGGAGCGCTGGGTTCGCTAGCAGCGTTGGCTACTTCGGAGTCCCGAGGAGCTCCGGACCTTGAAAATCCCTGCGCCGCGGCCAATCCCGAGGCCATTCACCCCTCCAGAAGCCAGACAAGCGGAGAGTCCAGCGCAGCGGCGGCCGTTCCCGGATCCTGGGCTTTCGGAGCGTTCTGGAACCCCGAGAGACACCCCCGGGGGCTCTAGAAGCTCCCCAGCGGCCCCCAGTCCCGGCTTCCTGCGCGCGTCCGTCTGAAAGCCCCTCGGGTGCACGGGCGGTCGCCGAGCCGCGTCTGGGTCCTGGCGCACACCATGATCGTTGCGGACTCCGAGTGCCGCGCGGAGCTGAAGAGCTACCTGCCCGCGGCCGGAGAGGTAAGCAGCGGCCGAGCGACGCCACCCTTCCCTCGAACCCAGAGCCGCGTCCAAGCTGCGGGTTGTTGCCAGCTGAGTCTGTGAGCCGCCCCCTCGGCTGGAGGAGGAGGAATGGAGCGCGTAACCCGGAGTGGGGTTGCATCAACCGGCAGCCTCGGCCCCCTCAGCCTCCGCCTCCTGCCCCCTCCCCGGGGCGGGGGTAGGACTGTAGAGCCCTCCGCGGCTCCCTCGGACTCCGGGCCCAAGAGGGGGGCGCCTTCTCGAGGTTATCTTGGGTTTGGGCCCTCGCCTAGGGAGTGTTCAAGTCCAGGCAAATCCCGGCGCAGCGGCCGGACCACTCCTCCTCCCCGCCCCCTTCCTCACATCCCTTCCTCTAGGCTGGGGCTAGAGGAACCGTTTCTAGGTAGGATGTGTACCCGGCTCCAGTGCCCCCGCTCGGTGATGGGAGTACGTGGGGCTGGCGCACGAAGGTCGACCCCGTCCCTCGCCCCCACCTGCACCCCCGATTCGGATTGGGGGCGCGGGAGCTCCGGGGCCTTGGCGGACTGCCGGGTATGCCGCGGTGAAAGCTCGCAGAGGGGAAAAATCCTGGCCGCGGCTCCCGAAGCCAAGCGCCGATTTGGCTGTGCTCTACTAACTGGTCTGACGTCCCAGAAGTTTGTTCTGCAAAGACTGTCTTTACAGTGAGGCTGGGAATACGGCTGCACCCAATCTGACACCCCCCCTGCCTCATTACCACCACCACGGACCATGAACATCTTGTTTATTACGCACCTACTGGATGGCAGGCTCCGGTTCTGCCTTTTCTCTGAGTCCTCAAGACTTAAACAAGCAGAATTTGAGCTATACTGTTGCTGCTCATTTAGGGGATGAGGAAATTGAGGCCCAAGAGGGGCTGTGGAGAGGCTTCCTTGGCTCACCCTGCAGAGCAGCTCATTCTTTGGCTGTGGTGTCTTTAAGATTTCCCAGTGTGGTTCGCTCAGCAGGGAGTTTTGCTTATTTCTTTGGTTTCCAGGCCTGGAGCCTGGTGCAAGTGTCTTAGTGGGATTGGGAGTCAGACCTGTGCTAGTCCTGAACTGTGATCCTGGGAATAAATGGCTGCACTTTCCTGAGCAGCTTGGTTTCTGGGGGTCCTCAGTTTTCTGTTAGCTTGTCACCCTCCCCTGTCATGGTTTAGGAGCCCAAGTGGAGGAAGGAAAACTGCTCCTGCCTCTTCTCAGCTGTGTGACTTTGACAAAGTCATCTTACTCTCTGAGTCAGTTTCCTTCTTTGTGAAAAAAAAAAAGAAAGGAAATAATTTTCTTTTTTGAGAGCACCTGGGCCCTAGAGCAGACTTGCTCCGGGTCCATGTCCCCCAGCCCTCCTACTTTCTTGCTCTGTGACCTTGGCCAAGGGATCCCTTCTCTGATCAGCAACTTCCTTACGTCGGGGTTTGGCTCTGTCTCCGAGGGATTGTTGGGAGTGTTAACTGAGGAGACAGGCAAAGACCAGTGCTCACTGCCTGGAGCATAGCAACTCAGTCCTGCGTCAAACATGCTAGGTATTGTTAGAATGTGGCCACAGCATGTATTGCCCCTTCCCCAGAGTGTCTCTTGCAAGGGGGTGTCTGAACCCGCCACTCCTGCCTGAGGCGAATGTTGGCTCATCTCTCTTTGGGACAGCGTTTGGGAAATGATATGGGGAGAAAAGCGAGCTCCAGGTGGACTGGGCAGGCTCTGAGGGCGGGGCCTTTAGATGGAAGCTTGCTAGCTGTCAACAGCAGAAGGGGTTGGGGGAATTGGTAATGTCAGACCCCTTTCTACATATTCTTCTCTCCCAGGAAAAGAGGACTTTGGGAAGATGTCTGTTTTAAGCAAAGTCTTTTAGAAGACAGTAGGGTGCTGAACTTACAGAGCCCTGTGCCCAAGCCTTAAGGGAAGCTGGACAAGTACATACAAGTACATACAAGGAATGTACAGTCCCCTCAGCTCTCGTGCTGTGACGCACACCCTTTCACCAAGTCAAGGCCCTCAGACACTTCACTCTAGTACTGGGAGTGTGTTCTCAGAGCCCTCCTGAGCTCTTGAAACATCACTGCTTCAAGGAAAGTCTTTCCTTCCCCACCTCTGCATACCTGCTTCCTGTCCCCCTTCTCCATTGCAAGAGCTGTTATCCCAGCTATAGTGTTGCAGTTGTGTAATCAGGCATTTCTTGTCTGTGTACCTTGCTAGACTGGAAACACTGTAGGCCCCATCACTAGCACTGTTCTTAGCACCTAATAAGTGCTCGTAACTATTTGCCCTTGTTGGCTTAGCTGACCCTTTTGAACTGTGCACAGACTTTGAAGTCAGATCTGAGCTTGCCTGTCTGGAACAGGTCTCTGAAAGAGCCTCAGTGAGCTGCTTCTGAAGAAAGGATCAGTTCAGTTCAGTCGCTCAGTCGTGTCTGACTCTTTGCGACCCCATGGACTGTAGCACACCAGGTTTCCCTGTCCATCACCAACTCCTGGAGCTTGCTCAAATTCATGTCCATGGAGTCGGTGATGCCATCCAACCATCTCATCCTCTGTCATCCCCTTCTCCTTGTGCCTTCAATCTTTCCCAGCATCAGGGTCTTCTCCAGTGAGTTGGCTCTTAGCATCAGGTGGCCAAAGAATTGGAGCTTCAGCTTCAGCATCAGTCCTCCCAATGAATATTCAGGACTGATTTCCTTTAGGATTGAAGAAGGGATAAGAAGACCTATTTCCCTCCAGGTGGTTGTGAGAAATCAGCCAGATCGTGGTGGGGAGATGAGTTTATGGCATCACTCACACAATGCCTCTCCCAAAGGAGGACTCTGACTCCCTCTCAGGTGTAAACCCAGGCAAGTATCTTGAATTCAGCAGCCCACGGGGAGGGGAGTCTCTACCCATGCCCAGCTGGCAGAGTAACCTTGAAGGAGTCTGTAACTGAGTCCTGGAGATGGCAGGCCTACCAGGAATAAAGGCTGAGGCTGATTGGGGTGGCGGACAGAACCCTTGCAAGCCAGCTGAATTCAAATCTTGAGTTGGCCACTTGTCAACTGTGGCTTAACCTTTGGAACCTTAATCTTTCCTTGTGTGCAGAAGAGACCCCTACTCCCACCCCCGAACTGATGAAGATTAAATGCAACCAGTATGCTAGTGTCAGAGTTAATATGAAAGGGAATTGTGAGTAGACGCGTAAATCAGGAGCCAGGCACGGTGCTGAGGTGATTGATCCTCTCCTTACAACAACCCTGATGCCTTCTCAGTTGAGTGGCCACCCAGCTAACTGACCTCAGTGTTCTTGCTGCCCTGGGTGGTCCTCTCAGCTGAAACTCATTGGTTTTTCCTCTGCCCCGCCCTAGCTGTGTTGCCTTGGGTGGGTCACCTGCCCCACTCTTAATCCATATAGTCAGGGAAGGGATCTTGCCTTTATCAGGTGTGTGAATGTGTATCCTGAGCCACATGTGGCTATTTAAATTTAGATAAATTAGATTTTATTGAATTTAAAACAGTTTTTTAGCTGCACTCGTCACATTTCCAATGCTCAGCTACTGTGTGTGAAAGTGTTAGTCGCTCAGTTGTGTCCAACTCTTTGCAAACCCATGGACTGTAAACCACCAGGCTCCTCTGTCCACGGGATTATGCAGGCAAACATACTGGAGTGGGTAGTTGTTCCTATTCCAGGGGATTTTCCCAACCCAGGGATTGAACTCAGGTCTCCTGCATTACAGGCAGATTCTTTACCATCTGAGCTACCACAGAAGCCACCAAGGAAGTGACTTGGGGCTACCATCTTTATTGGACAGTGCAGATAAACAATATTCATCATTACAGAAAGTTTTATTGGACTTGCAGTGCTAAGTACTGGGTTCACAACTGGGAACTTGATCCAGGGTGTGCTCTCAAGGTATGAAACAATGCAGGATGACAAGGGCTGTTATTGGGGCAGCAGAGCCCTTGGAAATGTGGACAGGGAGAAGGAGCATCTCACTCCTGGCGAACCCCAGAGGCGAAGCCTTGGGGCCACTGAGACCTTGAGAAGCTTACAGAATGGGAATCATTTCTGCAGTTGAGGATATCTGATTTGTTTCCTAACCCTGCTTCCTCTTTCCTGGCTGAGTGACCTGACCTCTCTGAACCTTATTCCCCATCTGTAAAATGGGAACTCTTCAAGTGCACATGAAGTAAAGGTTTAGCCCATGATAATCAGTGTTGTTACCTACCATTATTATTGACTTCCTACCCCAGGAAATAGGGGAGGGCTGGTTTGGAGGTGTCACTTCTTGGCGGTGGCCCCTGCTCTGTCCACTTCCTCTCAGGTTTTGGGTGTTTGGGTTGGGGAAGCATGCAGGGTATTGGAACTCTGGATTAGAATCTACTCAGTCTTGCCCTCGGGGCTTTAAACTTCCCGCTACCTTTGCCTGGAATGCTGGTTCCCTAGATCTCTATAGGTCCTTTACAGGCCCATCAACTCATTTACATATTTGATATTTAGATACCAACTTAAAGGTTGTCTCCTCAGTGGCTTCCCCTGTCTAGGACTGGAATATTGCACATAACTTCTCCACCCCATTATACACTCTCTTACTCTATGGAATCTGTGACTTGAAATCCTATTCATCATTTGTTTGTCTTTCTCCTTTGTAAATTCTAGGAAGACTAAGATTTTGTCTTTTCATTCCAGTACTCTTGCTGCCTACAATGTAGTCATCAAAAATATTTGTCAAGGAACTTCCCTGGTGGTCCAGTGGCTAAGACTCCATGCTCTTGATGCAGAGGGCCCTGGTTTGATTCCCCTGGTTAGGGAACTAGATCCCACATGCCACAACTAAAGATTCCTCATGCTGCAGCTAAGACCCAGTGCACCCAAATAAATAAATATTTAAAAAATTTTTCTTTTGAATGAACAGATTAATTCTGGTTCTATCTGGAAAGCACTTAGCACAGCACCTTATACTTGAGAAAGCAATCAATGAATGGAGTGAAACAATGGCTCTCCCTGGCAAGTTATGCCAGGCCCCACCCAATAAATTGAAATTGCTGGGCCTTGGCATTGGTATTTTTTTAAAAAGCTTCTCAAAGGGATTCTACCTGTACAGCTTGGGTTGAGAAGCCCTTGTTTGAAATAACAATGAGGTTAATGATTGCTGACTTGCTAAGTGCTTGCTGTGATAGAGGTACTCATTAAATCCTCATGACTACCCAGTGAAAGTAGGTACTATTGCTGCTGCTGCTGCCGCTAAGTCACTTCAGTTGTGTCCGACTCTGTGCGACCCCATAATTTGGCAGCCCACCAGGCTCCCCCGTCCCTGGGATTCTCCAGGCAAGAACACTGGAGTGGGCTGCCATTTCCTTCTCCAATGTGTGAAAGTGAAAAGTGAAAGTGAAGTCGCTCAGTCGTGTCCGACTCGTAGTGACCCCATGGACTGCAGCCCACCAGGGTCCTCCGTCCATGGGATTTTCTAAGAGTACTGGAGTGGGGTGCCACTGCCTTCTCCGGTAGGTACTATTATTACCCCATAATTCAGAGAGGAAACTGAGGCTCACATCGCTAGCAGATAATAGGGGGTGGAGTTGTCTTTTGAGCCCAGGCAGTTTGTGTCAAGAGCCCCTATCTTTAAAGTGTACTCTGCTTTATTGTCCAAATCATTATCATCATCTTCACTGAGGCTGATAACGTTGGTAGATCCGGACCTATCACGTAAAGACCCACAGGCCTCAGTTTCTTCCTTTGAGAGCTCCTGGGGCAGACTTTAGAGAGGGAAGGGCTTCCTGAAACTGTTCTCTGTCCCTCCCTACCTAGTACCCTGGTGGGCCCTCCCTGTCCCCCCCACCGACCCCCCCCAGTTCCTTCCTGCCCTTCCCCACCACACCTGGCTGTGGTTTTCTGTCTGTCCTTAGGTCGCCTGAAGGGGAGGCCCAGTTTGTGGAGTCAGCAATCCTTATCTCCCAGACAGAGCTGTTAGGCCTTTTCTCTTTGGTGAGGGAGGAGGAAAGCTGAAACAGGAGTGCTTGGGGATTGTGCAGGTTTCTGAGCTAGACTTGGCCCAGCCTGGTCTGGTAGATCCCAGAAGTATGGGCTGCAAAGGACCTGAGCAGTCAGTCCCACTGCCTTCTTTGTCCAAGATTAAAGCTCCGAGAGTCTAAGTGACTTTCTCGGGGTCACACAGCTAGTTAGTGGCATCAGAATCGGTACTCATACCGGGGACTTTTGTACCCTTGTTCTTTCCTTTGTGATCTTTCAGAGCCCCAGAACTCTGCCTCCCTCAGGGGGCTTTTCAGTTCAGCCCCTCAGTCCTCTCCAACTCTTTGCAACCCCGTGCACTGAAGCACATCAGGCTTCCCTGTCCATCACCAACTCCCGGAGCCTGCTCAAACTCATGTCCATTGAGTCAGTGACGCCATCCAACCATCTTGTCCTCTGTCGTCCCCTTCTCTTTCCGCCTTCAGTCTTTCCCAGCACCAGGGTCTTTTCCAGTGAGTCAGTTCTTTACATTAGGTGGTCAAAGTATTGGATCTTCGGCTTCAGCTTCAGTCCTTCCAATGTGTGTGTGAGGGGGTGTTTTTTAGCTATGTAAAAAAGAAGGTTCACTTATAATCCTTAGTCTCTGGACACCTGGGGATTAACACTAAGTCTAGATTTGAATGAGGAGGGGCCAGTTAGGGGGACATCATCTCTGTTCAGTGAGGATATGACTCTGGTTTGGATAAACTGTTTCTAAAGCCAGTGCTGAGACAACACCCCCCCCCCCAACCCCTGCCACCTAGGTATCAAAATAAATGAGTAAATAAAATATGTGGTTTCCATAGAGGCTCCTACACCCACGTCAAGATATAGCTGCTGCCATCAGCATTGCCCTCCATGTAGCTCTGCTTTCTTCATTCACAGACTAGTGTGAATTACCTGGCCCTGCTCTTCACAAAATGTAATCTGGAAATACAGAGACCTAAATCAGACAATTAGAAGGTGATGCTTTCAGAAGCAAAAGCACTGGGAATTGTGGGTCACAGATGAGGGTCAGAAGAAGATGCTCAGAAAAATGGAGTTAGTTCTACAAAAGGCGTGACCAGTGAGAGGGCGGTGGATCCGAGCCACTAACTATCTGGAAGGCAATAGGAGGTGGAGGCAGGATTTTAAGCCAGTGATGAGATTTGCACTTGAGAAAGTTTACTCTGGCTATTGAAAGTTTGCCCTCCTAGTGACCACCAGGGTGATGTACTCACTAGATCTGCTCCTGGTCCCAGAGGTGGGGTTGGGGGTGGATGCTTTATTTATTCATTCATTCTGTTATCTTGGTAGAGGATGGAGAAGAGGCCAGGACTGTGGAGGCAGGTAGGCCATTGGTGAGGCAGTGGGTAGTGGTCCAGACAGGGGGCTGTGGTGTCTACTAGGTGGTGATGGATGAAGAAATGTCAATAAAGCTACATCATAGGAATCTAGGAGGCTTGGTAACCAGGTTTCAGGATACAAACAAGGGAGGTTCTCATACACGTTCTCCATGGGTACCAAAAGGTGGCCTCCTCAAGGATATACAATGGAAAAAAGACAACCTCTTTAACAAGTGGTGCTGGGAAAACTGGTCAACCACCTGTAAAAGAATGAAACTAGAACACTTTCTAACACCATACACAAAAATAAACTCAAGATGGATTAAAGATCTAAATGTAAGACCAGAAACTATAAAACTCCTAGAGGAGAACATAGGCAAAACACTCTCCGACATAAATCACAGCAGGATCCTCTATGACCCACATCCCAGAATTTTAGAAATAAAAGCAAAAATAAACAAATGGGACCTAATGAAACTTAAAAGCTTTTGCACAACAAAGGAAACTATAAGCAAGGTGAAAAGACAGCCCTCAGATTGGGAGAAAATAATAGCAAACGAAGCAACAGACAAAGGATTAATCTCAAAAATATACAAGCAACTCCTCCAGCTCAACTCCAGAAAAATAAATGACCCAATCAAAAAATGGGCCAAAGAACTGAACAGACATTTCTCCAAGGAAGACATACAGATGGCTAACAAACACATGAAAAGATGCTCAACATCACTCATTATCAGAGAAATGCAAATCAAAACCACAATGAGGTACCATTACACACCAGTCAGGATGGCTGCTATCCAAAAGTCTACAAGCAATAAATGCTGGAGAGGGTGTGGAGAAAAGGGAACCCTCTTACACTGTTGGTGGGAATGCAAATTAGTACAGCCACTATGGAAAACAGTGTGGAGATTTCTTAAAAAGCTGGAAATAGAACTGCCATATGACCCAGCAATCCCACTTCTGGGCATACACACCGAGGAAACCAGATCTGAAAGAGACACGTGCACCCCAATGTTCATCGCAGCACTGTTTATAATAGCCAGGACATGGAAGCAACCTAGATGCCCATCAGCAGATGAATGGATGAGGAAGCTGTGGTACATATACACCATGGAATATTACTCAGCCATTAAAAAGAATTCATTTGAATCAGTTCTATGAGATGGATGAAACTGGAGCCCATTATACAGAGCGAAGTAAGCCAGAAAGATAAAGACCATTACAGTATACTAACACATATATATGGAATTTAGAAAGATGGTAATGATAACCCTATGTGCAAAACAGAAAAAGAGACTCCTATGTATAGAACAGACTTGTGGACTCTGGGAGAAGGTGAGGGTGGGATGTTTCAAGAGAACAGCATTGAAACACGTATATTATCTAGGGTGAAACAGTTCACCAGCCCAGGTTGGGTGCATGAGACAAGTGCTCGGGCCTGGTGCACTGGGAAGACCCAGAGGGATTGGGTGGAGAGGGAGGTGGGAGGGGGGACCGGGATGGGGAATACATGTAAAAAAAAAAAAAAAAAAGATACACTATGGTTGTGATAAAAAATAAATAAATAAATAAATTTAAAAAAATAAATAAATAAAGTGTATAGACAAGCAAAAAAAAAACAAAAGGTGGCCTCCTGGGAAAGTGCAACACGGTGGCTATATAATTTCCTTTGCCCCTGCAACCCAGTAGTGGGACTCCTGGGTCCCTTCCCAGTTCCAGAAGAACTCAGCCTGTGGGGTGAGCTCTCTTGCTTATTTACCCTTTCTCCATCCACCAAGCTGGTCTGTATCTCCACCTGACTCCTGGTGCACCAGAAAGGTGATTCTAAAAGCTCACTGTGGGGATTTCCCTGGTGCTTCAGTGGCTAAGACCCCACACTCCCAATGCAGGGGGTCCAGGTTCGATCCCTGGCCAGGGAACTGATCCCACATAGCACAGCGAAGATCAAAAATCTCACGTGCCTCAACTGAGACCCAGTTCAGCCAAATAAGTAAATATTGAAAAATAAAATTAAAGCTCAGTGTGGCCCCTCCAGTGACCCCTCCAGGAGCGAGAACTATCTTCTTAGTCCTCCGTTTCACCTCTGACTGACCATGATGTGTTTCCTTCTAGGAGCAGAGGGAGAGCAGGGTTCGGCGAGGCCCCCGGGGGCCCAGCGCCTTCATTCCAGTGGAGGAGGTAAGCTTGGAAGGGGTTAGGATTGTCGTTGGTCCCTGGGAGGAAAGGACATGGGGCACTAAGTAGGTGGGAGGGGTTTTCTGGTCTCTTGAAATTGCAGCTTTGAAACTACCCCTTCAGGTTGCTGACTCATTTAATCCGCAAAACAGCTCTGCTCCAAGTAGACATCTCAGCCCCATTTTACTGGGGAGAAACAAGGTCCAAGAGATAAAATGCTAATAACACAGCTAGGTAATGAACAAACTTGTGGTTCCCAGAACAAGACTTGTTTTTCCTTAAGAAGACAGAACTATCTGTAGTTATCTTCTCACCCTTGAATGTACATGTATTAAAGTTTTTTTTTCCCCCAACTTCACGTGTAATAGATGTTCATTATTTTAAAATTTCCAGTGTTTCAGAAAACTTTAGTTTCTTGTGATCCCAACCCCACTGAGATAATCACTGTTAAACATTTGCCACTGTTTTCCAGACTTCTTTTCATTTGGAGCCAAGGTCATAGTGTGTAACATGATTTTGTTATTTTTGTTCATTTGGGAAGTTTTTTTTTTTTTTTCATTTGGTTATTATGTTTTGTTATTTCACATAATACATCAGAGACATCTTTCATCTAGTGAGTCAGATCATGCATTCATTTATTTAACAGGTGTCTGTTGAATGATTAATCTGTCAGGCACTGTTCTAGGTGCTGGGGATACAGATGAGAACAAGACAAACAAAACTCCTTGCCATCACAAAACTGACATTCCAGTGGGGGGTTTGTGGTGGGGAGAACTTCAAAGCACACACACAAACAAATTAAAAAATAATCGTTTCCTTCTTTTCCTTTGGCCTTCATTGAACAAAGACAAACATTTCCTTGTCCTCCTTGCCTTCCTAAATGTGTAGGCCAAATAGTTAATGAGCTGTTAGCAAACGTCTAAACTCTCCAGTTCCTTTCACCCTTTGTAAATGGATGAAAGCACGCAACCACCTGCTATAACCCAGAATGTTAAACTCAAATATTCTTATCTTTTTTTTTTCATCGATAAATAACTACTCTTCCTCTGTAATAAAGGAAAGAAATAGTCTTTGAACTTAATTGGGAATTGAATTCTGATTCTGTCATTTATTAGATCTGTAACCTTAAGCCTTGATTCTCTCATGTGTCAGTGGTGGAAAATAATACTATTCACCTCACAGGAAATTGGGAAGAACTGATGAGATAATATAGACAGGGAAAGCTCCAAACTCAGACCCGGTGTGGAGAAAGCACTCAAGAAATGTGAACTGTTTAGCATCTGCTTCCAATGACTGCACAGCTTTGCACCATTACTACCAAGGGCCCAGGTTCAACCCCTGGTGGGGGAACTAAGATCCCACAAGCCACGTGGCATGGCAAAAAAAAAAAAAAAAAAAGCTCTATGAAAGTAGGAGAAGCTGTATTCTAATCTCCGTGCCTGAGTCTTTCTATCTAAACTTGGAGAAAATAAGTTTCTAATTTCGTATATATAATGTGTTTGAACAGTACTTGGCACATTGCAAGCATTGTATAAGTATTGACTACCATTGCATAAAGTGTCCAATAAGTATTTGATTAATCACTTAATGAAATATCTTTTCCTCCCCTGATCTCCTTTTTGTTGGACATGGTGGTTGTCTTCAGTTTCTTGCTATTAAAATCACAACGCATGCAATGAATATCTTGGTTTCTCTGGTGGGGAGGGCACGAGGGAGTCACCCTTCCTCACCTTTGCTTGGCAGGTCCTGCAGGAGGGAGCCGAGAGCCTCGAGCAGCACCTGGGGCTGGAGGCACTGATGTCCTCGGGGCGGGTGGACAACCTGGCCGTGGTGATGGGCCTGCATCCCGACTACTTTACCAGCTTCTGGCGCCTACACTACCTGTTGCTGCACACGGATGGGCCCCTGGCCAATTCCTGGCGCCACTACATTGCCATCATGGTGAGCTGGTCTGAGCCTGACTTTCGTAGGGGTGGGTTCATTGTGGGGTTCAGCCCTCAGATCTCTTTGCTGGGGTCTTGATTCTACAAACAGGAGAAGAGGTGGCTTAGAGCAGAGCCCTAGCTTTATCTGACCATCCATCGAAGTTTAGATTTTGAAGAGAGGCATTTTTTTTTTTAAGTAGGCAATTTAATTTTTATTAAATTTAATTTTTATTTTATGTCAGAGGATCATTGCTTTACAGTGTTGGTTTAGTTTTAAGTGTACAGCAAAGTGATTTATATATACATTTATCCATTCAAGAAGACACTGTCTCACTCCAGACCACCCAACCGGTGGCAAAGCTGGGGTGAGAACCTAAGTTTCCTGCCTCTCAGGCAACAGTGAGGCTTGTGACGTCTCCCTCCGTGGGGTGCCCCCCCTGAGCAGGGCGCAGGAAGGACAGGGTGACGCGGGCTCTGTCCACCACCTCCAGGCTGCCGCCCGCCACCAGTGTTCCTACTTGGTGGGCTCCCACATGGCCGAGTTCCTGCAGACTGGCGGTGACCCCGAGTGGCTGCGTGGCCTCCACCGCGCCCCTGAAAAACTGCGCAGGCTCAGTGAGGTCAACAAGCTGCTGGCCCATCGGCCGTGGCTCATCACCAAGGAGCACATCCAGGTGCGGTGGGCAGGGAGGCGGGTCCCCGGGGGAGCGTGGGGCGGGCAGCCCGGGGCAAAGCAACTGAGCAAGCCTGGCCTTGCCTTTTCTCTCCAGGCCTTGCTGAAGACGGGCGAGCACAGCTGGTCCCTGGCCGAGCTCATCCAGGCCCTGGTCCTGCTCACACACTGCCACTCACTGGCCTCCTTCGTGTTCGGCTGTGGCATCCTCCCTGAGGGGGACCCTGAGGGCAGCCCCGCCCCCCAGGCCCCTTCGCCCCCCAGTGAGCAGAGCACGCCCCCCAGCAGGGACTCGCTGAACCACTCTGGGGTAAGTCAGGGGCCTGAGTCTTGGTGGGAGAGGAAGCTGGGGGCCCCTGGTCCTTGGGTAGAAGACAGTGCCTCCCTGTCTGCAGCTCCTTCCTTATCACACCCTGGGAGACCTTAGAAAAGTCTTTTATTTTTTTAAGGTATATTTCTTTATTTTTGGCCGCACCGGGTCTTCCTTGCTGTACCCGGGCTTTCTTTAGTTGCAGCCAGCGGGGCTACTGTTTGTCACGGTTCGCAGGCTCTAGGGTGCTGGCTCAGGAGTTGCAGTGCACAGGCTTACTTGCCCTGTAGCATGTAGAATCTGCCCAGACCGGGGATCGAACCCATGCACCCTGCATTGGCAGGCAGATCCTTAACCACTGGACCACCTGGGAAGCCCTAAGTCATTTGGTTCTGAAAGTCAGTTTCCTCATATGGAAGATGAGGATAAAGACTCCCTTATCATAAACGGTTGTGAGCCTGAGGTGAAATAACCACGTGACTGGCCTCAGCATGGAACCCCGTGGGCTTAAAGTAGCTGACTTTCACCACTTTAACAATACAAAGTTTGCCTCTTATTCTGTAAAGTGGCCTTGGTTGTGTGTATTTTAAAAATACAGATACTTTAAAAAGCCCTTTCCTGTGAGGGGAGTTGACCCTCAGAGAAGACCTGTCTGTTCTATAGCTGCTTAAACATCACTTCCGGAAGCACAGGCCACATGAGCTGTCCAGCTCAGAGGAGGCCCTGGGCCTTCATGATTGCCCAGGAAGGCCCGGCATGTGAGAAAGACGTGTGGGGTTTCTGGGGTCAAGGGAGAAGGGGTGGATGGTCACCACCAGGTCATTCCTACAGGGCTTTGAGGCTGCACGCGACGTGGAAGCTCTGATGGAGCGCATGAGGCAGCTGCAGGAGAGCCTGCTGCGGGACGAGGGCGCCTCGCAGGAGGAGATGGAGAGCCGCTTCGAGCTGGAGAAGTCAGAGAGCCTGCTGGTGACCCCCTCAGGTACAGGGTCACAGGCATCCAAGTTCCGGGGCCACCCCCTCCTTGCACCCTCTCTGCTGGGAAGCTGGCATCTTCATGTTACTGCACCTCGGTAGCCACATCCCAGCCACCACTTCCAAGAAGTTCTGAGCATGGGCTCTGGGGTCAGGCCTGCTAGCCTTTCTTCTTTCTTTTTGGCCAGGCCATGTGGCATGCAGGATCTTAGGGATCTTAGTTCCCTGACCAGGCATGGAGCCCAGGAAAGGCAGATTCTCAACCTCTGGGCCGCCAGGGAAGTCTCCTGGTAGCTTTTCTGGCAGTGTGACCACTGATAAGTCGCTTGCTGTCTCAGGTCCCAGCCTCCTCCCCCGTGGGGGATTCGTGTGTAGGGGAAATGAGACAACAGAAGCAAAGCACTGAGCACAGAGCCTGGCCCAGGGTAAGCGGCTCCGTAAGTAGCCACTGTTGTTAGGATTGCTATTGTTATCACTGGGGGCCTTAGCCCCTGGACCTGAGTTACCCCCTCCCCCAGGCCCTCCTGCCGAAGTCCTGGTTCCACTCACTGTGGTGAGGGGCTTTCTTAGGCCCCCTATTCCACATTCCCCAGTACCCCCTCCCCATTGATGATTAATGGGGAGTGGAGGCCTCTGTGCTCCGTGCCTTGGCCTCACTGTGACCTCTTTCTGACATCCTCAGCTGACATCCTGGAGCCCTCTGCAAACCCAGATATGCTGTGCTTCGTGGAAGACCCCACTTTCGGATATGAGGACTTTACCCGGCGGGGGACTCAGGCACCCCCCACCTTCCGTGCCCAGGTAGGCTCTCCCTACTGGTCTTAGCATTGCTTTTTTTAAATTAATGAGCTAGTATTTTTTTGGACTGCCCTGGCTCTTCACTGCTGTGTACATGCTTTCTTTAGTTGTGGTGAGCAGGTGCTTCTCTGTTGCGGTGTGAGGGCTTCTCACTGCCGAGCACAGGCTCAGTAATTGTGGTTCAGGGGCTTGGTTGACCCACAGCATGTGCGATCTTCCCAGACTAGGGATGGAACCCATGTCTTCTGCCTTGGAAGGTGGATTCTAAGCCACTGAAACTCCAGGGAAGTCCCAGCATTGCTTTACAAACAAGCAGGAGTGGGTAGTTTGTGTGATCAGAGTTTGGGCACCTTCTCTCCCTCAAGATTCCATGAAAGAAGTGGGAGACCCTGAAGGTGAAAAGACCCAGCTGGGTCCTAAGCTCAGGGGATCCTGACCACAGGAAGGAAGTCATCACCAAGCTGCATCCTCCTCAGCTTCTCAGGTCCAGACCAAGCAGCGGGTTAGATTTGCGGGGGTGGAGACAGGCATTATGGAGATCCCAGCTGTGCTGCAGAAGATGATGTCCTTTTGGCCAGCCTCAGGCCCCAAGGATTCTGCTCACTGACCCACCCCTTTCCATGTTTCTCAGGATTATACCTGGGAAGACCATGGCTACTCACTGATCCAGCGGCTCTACCCTGAGGGTGGACAACTGCTGGATGAGAAGTTCCAGGCAGCCTATAGCCTCACCTACAACACCATCGCCATGCACAGTGGAGTAGACACTTCCATGCTCCGCAGGGCCATCTGGAATTACATCCACTGCGTCTTTGGCATCAGGTGAGTGCAAGTCCCCTCATCCAGTCATGGTGTACCGCAAGACCTCCATCTGAGCTCACAATTGTTTCCTTTTTCTTTGTTTTTTTCTCTCTCTCTTCCTGCCTATACTGTTCTTCAAAGCAAATGTATTTCTTGGCTGATTATGAAAGATAATAGCCATGCTTAGTTTTTGAAAGTCTTTAGTTCCACCCCCAGAAATAACTAAGGAGATCATACACACACACACACAAATATACTTACATACATACACACATATATACATACAAAGAGAGTAATGTTTGTATTTCCATTCCAAGTAGCAGTTCTTCTCTCATAATAAAGAAAAACAACAGAAATGCCCAATGGTGAGATTCAGTTTTTAGTAAATGTAGGAAAAAAGAGATAACAAAAAGAAGAGAATAAAAATCATTCACGATCCCACCTGTTCTTACTATTGTCAGGTATTGGCTCGGTCAAAAAGTTCATTTGGGTTTTTCCGTTATCATCTTATGGAAAAACCTGAATGCATTTTTTGACTAACCCATTATTTCCTTCCTGTCTTTTCTTTCCATGCACAAATACCCAGTTGTACATAATTTTACAAAAATAAGACTTTCTTGTCTACTCCTTTATTTTACTCAGTTTAATCAAGTAAGAGCATATTTTAATGAACATGATTTTTTCCCTTGCTTTTCTAGTTTAACAGTTTATTCTAAGTATCAAAAAACAACAGAAACAAAAAACAGAAATCCCCAAAGTTTTGAAAAGGTGCACATTCCTTGGAGAAAATGTGCATTTCTGTGTGTTACTAGCTATGGATCACATTTCACTACGTGGGTTGAGCTGTGCTTAATTGACCAGTCTCCCACTGGCCAACCTCACTGACAACTTTCTAATCCAGGGAAGGCCAAGGATGGATGGGCATCTTAGGGTGCCCACTGTGACCTCCCTTGCTGCCAGGCTTCCAGGTCAAGGATGCCCCACTATGCAACATGGCCCTCGATCCTAAACCTTTGTTTACCAAATCTGCCCTCTAGTCTAAAACCAGTCTTCCTCATCCACGCTGATCTGTGATGACTCACTGGCTCACTGGACTGGGGAGGGACATAATAGCTTCTAGACTTGTCACCAACTTGCCCTTTGACTTTGAACAAGCTGATTGCCTTCCGTAGGCCTCCGTTTGCCCATCAGTGAAATGACTACCAATTTCTTTTTCCCTTTCCCTCTTCCTTCTCCAGGGTAAATTTTCACACTGATCTCCTGCCCCATCTGCCATGCATGGCCTTAGCTGTAAAGTGGCGACTATGAGCATGGAGGCAGGCAGAGCTGGGTTTGAATTCCATTCCCAGCTGTGTGACCTGGGACTTCACTTCTCTGAACCTCCATTTCATCTATAAAATGAGACTGATGAGTACAGTACGTTGTATACAATAGTTTTGTATCCAGTCCTGTACTGAAGTTTGGAGGATATGTTCACATGGTCAGTGCAGCGTGCTCAGCCTCTGTGCATTCCCTGGCGAGTCCAGCACCCTGTGATATATGATATTAGCTGCCTTTCTAAGAGGAACCAAGCTTCTAGCTGCTTCCTACCTTCTGCCTTTTCTTGCCGCTCTCTGTTCCCCCTTCTGTAGGGTGGGGCTGGGGAAGAGGAGCTCTGTGGGAGCAGAGGTGCGAGTGATTCTTTCTGGGTCTTTCCATTCAGATATGATGATTATGACTACGGGGAGGTGAACCAGCTCCTGGAGCGGAACCTCAAGGTCTATATCAAGACAGTGGCCTGCTATCCGGAAAAGACCACCCGAAGAATGTACAACCACTTCTGGAGGCACTTCCGCCACTCTGAGAAGGTGCGGCTCTCAGGGGAGGAACAGGATGGCAGCCTGTGGAGGAGGCGAGGGCTCGGGACCAAGTGAGGTCCTGACCCAGGGATCCAACCTGCATCTCTTCATGTCTCCTGCATCGGCAGGCAGGCTCTTTACCATGAGCGCCCACTGGGAGGCCCATTTACTCACCTGTAAAATGGGTGTCCTCAGTGGCAGCCGGAAGGACCTGGGTTCAAATCATAACATTATCACTTGGGAGCTGTGTGACCGTGGGCAGGTCATTTTGCCTCTCCGAGCTTGTTTTCTTGACAATAAAAATTAAAAACTGCCTGCATTTCAAGGTTGTTGGGAGGATGAAGTGAGAAAATGAAGGTGAACCTCTGATCCCAAATAAATGCTCAGAGGTAGCTGTAGTTTTTAGCTTTGGGGGATAACGAGATTAGTCATGACCGAGATCAATGTGCTTGAAATTCTCCCACAGTCCTTGCACCAAGTTACTCAGAGCCTTAGGAAAGGGAAGGATGAAATGGGTGGTCAGGGATGACGGCACTCTGGGAGGGAAGGGGATGGTGAGAAGTGACATCAGTTGCCAACAAGCCCTCGTCTGTGCCCCCAGGTCCACGTGAACTTGCTACTGCTGGAGGCCCGCATGCAAGCCGCCCTGCTCTATGCCCTTCGTGCCATCACCCGCTACATGACCTGACTCAATGCAAGACCTGCGCCTGGAGCAGCTGACCCTGGGGGGCCTCCTCGATGCAAGGACTTCTCTGGAGACAGACCCTAATCTCTTCCTGTCCCATACCCACCTACCCTACTCTGGGGGTGGGCCTGGGTGTGACGCGCAGCCCCCCCAGCCACACCCTCCTTCCCACTGGAATGGACAGGACCATCGCACTGACTCTGGTATCTCAGCTCTGACCCTGGGGTGTGGGGGGCTGGCAGAGGACTAGCGGATTTCCAGGTGCCAGCCCCTCCTGACCGCCCTTACCCTCAGAGGCCAAGGGCACAGGAAGGAAAATGGACTGAGCGCGGACTTGTGTGCCAGCAGGCAGGGGCCCAGGCAGCACAAGTACTTTGGCCTTCGTGGCCTGGGAAGTCCCTGGCTGGCCCCCAGGGAGAGGGGCAAACACCTCCAGGGACTGACACTCCAAGCGGCTTCACCTCTCTCCTCCAGCTTCCTCCTCCACAAGATTTCATTACCTCCCACCAGCCATTCACCCATCAATGTGAAAGTCAGGGTCACAGCTGGTCTGTGCATCTGGCTCCCCAGAAGCCCGTTCTGTCCAGCAGCCCACAGGCTCCTTGCTCCCTGGTCACGCCAGTCCTAGTTCAATTCCCTGGACCCCCCTTTGCCCTCTTACCCTTTTCTCCACCACCTGTTGGAGGGAGGCCCCAGGAGAGAGACCAAGCCCGTCAAACAAGTAGATTATCTCTAGAGAGTTCGAAGTCTCTGTTGGTCATTTTGCCTTCAGACGAGGAGGGAGTATTATATGATAAATTCTCTGCGTTTTGATTTTTCATGGGTGAGGTTCTTCACTGCCCACCCCTAGAGCCTCAGGCAGTGTCTGAGAGGAGAGCAGGAGTGTCTCCCCAGGGCTGAGCTACCTGGCAGAGGCTGGCACTCCACAGTCTCTCATCTCCCCTGGCTCTGCCACAGATATTTGCCAAAAAAAGTGAGCCTTTCCACATGGTTTCAGTGGCTCAGGGAGACAGGCACGAGACCCCAAGTTTCCTGCGTGGGCCCTGTCATGGCCAAGTGAGCCCAGTTTCCACAGTTAGACTGAGGGGCAGGACTATATCTCTTGATGTCTGGGCCTTTGCTCAGATTCTGAGGCCAGCCTGCCAGCAGCCAGCTGCACGCATTGCAGGATCCCAAGGGCCTCTGGGGATTTTACATACACACACAACGCGCACGCGCGCGCACACACAGACACACACACACCCGCCTGCAGTCAGTCTCTCCAGGCTCCCTGCCAAGGACCTTCCTACCCCCATCCCCGTTTCTGTCCCTTCTCGGTTGGTTTTAGGTGGATCCCTTGGAGGCAAAAGCAGCCAAGGACTGATCCCAGGCGCTTTCTGTAGCAAACAAACTGTGAATTCTGACTTCCCTTGCCCTTCTTCCGGCCGTAGGTGCCTCCCCTCTGACCAGCTGGGAGGGGACTGGAGAAAGGCAAGGGCCAAGATGCTGCTGCTTCTGACCCTCCTCTCTGGGGCAGGGCAGAAGAGGAGCCTGGTTCATTGTGCCACATTTCATACCCGTGCAGGCATGGGCGAGCGACTGGCACCCCTTTCCGGCCTCAAAGCCCTCCCTGCAGTGAAGCTGGACAGGAGGGAAGAGGCCCCAGCATTGGGGTTTGGATTCTAGAGGGGACGTGACGACCGTCAGTGTCTCCAGGTGGCTGGTGAGGGGTATCCAGTGTTCAACTGCAGAAATCTTTGCCTTTGCTACCAGTTCTATATGATGAGAAATAAAAGTTCACCAAGGTTTTGTTTTGTACTTCTTGTTACTGGGCTGTTTTTCCATTTCCTGGGGGTCATGGTTCACCTCTTAGCATAAGCAGGGAGCTGCGATTGCATCAGGGACCTGACCTCGCAGCCCTTACCCCGCTGAGCATTTGTGCCAGTGACCGCAGGATTGGGAGTGGTTGGCACTCCAAGTCTACTTTTGTCCCTTGGGTGTCCAGCCCTGCCACCCCCTGTGGCTGGCCTGGCACTATGGAATAATGGCTGTGTTGTTTTTCTCACTCAGCCTGGCCCCAGACTGGGTACTTGGAGGTCATTTCTCTGAATCTGCAGCAAAATCTTGCAAGAGAATTGAGACTCAGGGGTTGAGTGGCTTTGCTGAGACCATTTCAGGTCAATGATGGGAGTCAGGATTCCAACTGGGGTCAACGTGATCTTGAGACCATGGCATTTCACCTTGCTGTTTTCCCACTACCGAGTTCCTCCTGAGGCAGAAGGAGGATATGTGAGAATTTCTTGGAGGACCCTCTGTTTCTCCTGCCCTGTCACTTCATTCTGGCTTCTCACCCTTCCCTCGCTCCCTCCCCAGAACAAAGGAGACAGGCATGAGGAGTTAATATGACTCCAAGTTGTGCCAGTGCCACTTAGTAGTAGCTGTGTGACCCTGGTCAAGCGTCTTAGCGTCTCTGGGCATCAGGAACTCCAGCACAGTTATCAGAAAAACCACATTATGACTAAGAGGTTAAGACCGCTCCTGCTGGCTTCCCACTTCCTCTTAATGCTGGCGTCACAAAACGAAAACCAGGTCTCCTCCAGGAAGCCTGCCCTGATTGACTTCCCTGTAACCCTTTCCTCCCTTCGTTTTTTAAAAATTCATGTATTTTTTAAAATACTTATTTGGCTGTGCCAGGTCTTATTTGCAGCATGCAGGATCTTTAGTTGTGGCATGAAAACTCTCAGCTGTGGCATGTGGGATCCAGTTCCCTGACCAGGGACTGAACCCCGGTCCCCTGCATTAGGAGCACAGAGTCTTAGCCACTGGACCACTAGGGAGGTCCCCTTTAAATTCGTTTTTGATTGAGGGATAATGGCTTTATAATGTTGTGTTGGTTTCTGCTGTAGGACAACGTGAATCCGCTACATGTACACATGTATCCCCTCCTCGGGTCTCCCCGCCATCCCACCCCTGTGGGTCATCACAGAGCACTGAGTTGGGCTCCCTCTGTCATATGGCAGCTTCCCTCTAACCATCTGTTTTACACATGGTAGTACATAGCCCCGCTTCATTTTTGCAATGTTCCTATACACTTTTTCTGCCTTCTACAGTCATTTGAGAGGGTGGGAGAGAAAATAAGTCAGACTTGGAGTACAGAACTTAGATTCTGGTCCTGACTTAGCCATTTATTTTCCTGGGTGGGGGAGGGTTGATTCATTTCACAGTGTCTCAAGTTTGCCCAAAAAACCAGGGCAAAAAGTTTTCTTTTCCAGGTAGCATTACTGAGTGACTGTTGCCTAATGTAATCGCTCCATCTTCACAGCAACCCTGTGAGAAAGGAGCGGTGGTCCCATTTTACAGATGTGGAGGAACCTCAAGTTACAGTCTTAGAACATGATAGGCAGAACCAGGTTCAAATTCCAACCCTGACACTTAATGTTTGACCATAAGCAAGTTACTTCAATTCTCTCTCCTCGAGTTGCTTATCTATGCAGCAGACTGAATACCTAGGGTCACAGGAGGGTTGTGTGGATCAAATAATGCTTGGAAAGCACCTAGTACAGTTCAGGTACCTCAAACTAAGTCACTCTGTATTCAGAAACCTGCTCAGCATCACAGAAGAGAGACAGAATTTGAACCCTTGTCAGTCTGACCCCAGAGCATTACTTTAGTCCCAAACCCCCTATGCCCTCAGTCTGCATCTCTAAAACTCATGTTCGAGTTGACTTGCCTGTAGAATTGAAAACTATTGGCTCCAAATTGGATCAAATTAATCTGTTTTAGACTTCTGCAACCTGCAGTCCAGGACCTGGGCATTTTTACCCAGGTTGGAGTTAGTGGAAACTTTGCAGTAGCTTGACTCTTGGTTGGTCTGGCTTTTGAAGACTGGCTAAGAGTAGGTAGAAACAGGAGCTGGATGAGTCTCCTCTGGCAGATTTCAAACATTCACCAGAGCCCTGGGACAAGTGGAATGGAGAAGTGGCTCACAAATATTTTGTGCCTCAGAATCTCCTAGAGGGTCAGTGTTTAGAGGTGGAGCTCAGAAACTTGCAGTTTTAACAGCTTCCCTGCTGTTCTGATGCCAAGGTCATTCTTTCATTCAACAACAGATGGTATGCACCTAATATGTAAATGCCCTGGACACAGAGCAGTGGAAAAGACAGGCATGGCTCCTGCCTTCTTGCAATTTATTATCTAGTGAAGAAGACAGATATTAAATCATTACACAACTAATTGTTTCAATTATAATTGCGATTGGCACCTCAAAAGGAGAGATTCAAGGTGCTGTCAGAATATTTTCAACCTAACATCAGAGGCTTTTCTTCCAAGGAAATATGTTGGATTTCTGCAGAAATGAGCACACATCCATCCAAGAGGAGCAATTTCCCACCCTCCCATTTCCAAGCACCTTCTGGGAACCCAAAGTCTCCATGGAATAGTTAGGAAACTGCTAACCTACATTCCTCTGTAATGGATGCTGTTGTGTGCAACACAGACTGTGTCAGACACTCCTTCCTACACCCCACACTCCGTTGGGAGAGTGGATTGCTGAGTGCCTTTCTGGGAACTGCCCTGAGTTGAAGGGAACAACCAAGTTCACGGTTATGCCCCACCAGGCAATCTAGTCTTGCCTCCAAGGCCTGGTGGATGGGAGAGGCGTATACAAAGGTCTGACCTCTTTGACTCCATTTGAAGCAACTCAAGGATCGTCCCAGCTCTACTGCTCCCTTCATGATCAGCTGAGGCCCATGTTGCTGCTGCCCTTGCCGTCCAAATTCTGTCTGATTCTGATCCCCAATAAACCTATGCAGATTTCCATCTCAGAGTCTGCTCACCAAGGTACTTAGCCTAAAACACGCTTATTGCAGATGGTGAAAGTAAAGACCAGAGAGGAGAAATTTCTTGCTTGTGGTCTCACAAGCCTGAATCTTTAGAACCTCTTCAAAGTTTGTCACCACCCTATGACAGAGTCCACAAACTTCCTGTCTCAACTTTCTTTTGTCAAGGCTGGAGGCGACCGCTGCGATACTGAAAGGGCCGCAAATTTCCTCTCTCCCGTCCCCACTGCCAAGGCTGGAGACCTTGGACAAGTTACTTGCCATCTCTGGGGAGAATGTTAAGTACACTCTGAGTGTCCTACCTTCTCTTAAGCCACCCCATGGCATGGCCCTGGTTCTGAGAAAAACCATGTCTCAGCTGGAAGAGCTTCTTTCCCCTTCTCTCTGAATCACCTCTAATCTCAGTGTTGCTTCCCGTTCAGGGAAGCCTTGAGCTTCTGTCCCAATTCCAAGTTTCTAAACTCACCTCCCATGGAGGAGCCCCTTTTCTAAGTTCATGCCCACATCATCAGGTGCTTACATTGTTGCAGACACTGCTGGAAAGAGACACAGCAGTGAAAGAGACAGACACAGCCTGGCCTTCAAGGACCTTAAAACCCAGTGTTAAAGATGAACATCCCGCAAGTACTTTGATGAGTCCTGGGCGGAAGACAACAAAATGCACAGGGAGCCATGAGAACACGCAGCAGGGGAATGTCCACACTCAGGATGGGAGTCCCCAGAGAAATACCTTGGACATGAAGGATGAGAAAGACAGTCAAGGATGGGAGGAGAGAAAGGGGATGGAACAAAAAACGATTTCTGGCTGGGACTTCCCTGGTGGTCCAGCAACTAAGACTGCATCCCCAAGGCAGAGAGAGGGCCGGGGTTCAACCCCTGGTTGGGGGACTAGATTCCACAAGCCACAGCAAAAGATCCCACATGACTCAACAGAGAAGACTCCACACGCCACAAATAACACCTGACACAGCCGAATAAATGAATAAGTATTCTTTCATTAAATAAAAGATTTCTGGTAGAGGAAACGACACAAGAGAAGATTGAAAACAGGAAGGCAGCCTGGCAGGGGCAGAGAGATCAGAGAGAATATGAGGAAGGGGGAGGTAAGGAGAAAGCCCAGGGCAAGCCAGTCATATTAAGAATTTTGAACTTTATCCTATTGGCAAGGGGAAGTCTTCAGAGGAGAGCTTGCTATTTATGACAAAATAGACACTGTGGATTGAATGTCCGTGTCCCTCTCGAATTCATATGTTGAAACTCTAAATCCCAGTGTGATGTTATTTGAAGACAGGGCCTTTGGGAGGTAATTAGGTCATGACTGTTCACCCCTCTTGATGGGATTACTGACCTTATGAGAAGAGACAGGAGGGAGCTTGCTTTCTCTCTCTCTTTTCACTATGTGAAGACATAGCAAGGACGACAGTTCTCATCAACAACTGGTCTGGCTGGTACCTTGACCTTGAACTTCCTAGCCTCTCAGTTCAATTCAGTTCAGTTCAGTCACTCAGTCGTGTCCGACTCTCTGCAACCCCATGGATGGCTGCACGTCCTCCCAGCCTCTAGAACTGTGAAAAGTAAGTGTCTGTTGTTTATGTCACTCAGTCTAAGATATTTTTGTGATAGCAGCCTGAATTAAAACAATAGGCAGCCTTGATTAGAAGAAGGAGTAGAGAAGGTCGTGAGACTTAGGACTGCCTACGTGCAGGGTCGTCCATAAGTGATTCACAAGCGTGACCTCATTTCATTCTCCCCACGGCCCTGTAGAGCCTGGTATTGTCTCCTTTTACAGATGGACTTGAGGGCTTCCCAGGTGGCACTAGTGGTAAAGAACGCGCCTGCCCATGCAGG